AAAAAAAAAAAAAAAATGTGTGCTCAAGAGATGGTTTCGTCTACGTGTCTAAAAGGTAGAGAACACATTTACCCAAAGTAAGTTTATCCCTGAGAATCGTAAGCAACGTAAGCTGTATCTTTCCCCTAACATACAACAAAACCTGGAAGATGCACATCTTCGCGATATTGGAACGTCTCCTTCGGTGATTTAAAACAGAAACGACCTAACACGAGAAAAGCAAAACCATAAAAAATAATTTCCTGGGAAGCAAAGGTTCGTGCCAATCTGGACAACAGGCGATAAGTTACCAATCTGATAAACAAAAACGTCATTTCCAATCTGGAATTCAAGGATCTTTCAGTGGCTGCTCTGAGGAGGGGACGCTCCAGGCGCGAGCGAGCGTCCGCGGGCCGGGGACAGCCCGGCCCCACGCGCCGCCCGCGGGGGCGTCTCACGCCGCGGCCCGGCGGGGGACCGGGGTGCGATGCTCGCCGTTTTCCGAAAGGACGAAGACCAAATCACAAGCTCGACGCAAGAGACAAGACACAGGACAGGCGTGCTGACGCGGGCTCCCGGCGGTGACTCAGTCCCCGTCCGCGTCCGAGTCGGCGTACTTCAGCTCACACTTGACGTCGAAGGGCCCGTCCCTGGCCGGGAGGTCGTCCAGCCTCTGCGAGTCCTCCCTGTCGGTGGGCACCCTGCTGGCCATGGTGTCCTGCTCCGTCTCGTAGCCCGTGTCCAGGGCCGGCCGCGGCTGCCCCCCGTTCTGCTGGGAGAAGCTGCCCGGCTCCACCAGCGTCTCCTTGGCGCTCTGCTCGAACTCGGAGAAGTCCGCCACGGGCTGCTTCTTCCCCAGCAGCACGGCAGAGCGGAACTTCAGGCACTGCCCGGGCAGGTAGCCCTTGTAGCAGTTGTAGGACACGAGGCAGAGGCACAGCAGGAAGAAGAGGAGGAAGAGGAACATGAGCAGACGGTTGTCGCTGGACTGCAGATACATCGTCTTCTCCGAGTGCACCTGGGGGACCGTGTTGATGACGATCTTCGGTTCGCAGGACGTGCCCGTGGGTGCGGGGCTGGGCGGCGGGGCGACGGCCCCGGGCACGGGGACCCGCGCAGCGGAGGTCTGCGCGGGGGGGCCGCGGGCGGGCTCCGTCACCGCTCGGGCGGTGGTCCTCCCGCCTTCCGTCCGGGCGCCCGTTGAGGCGGGGGCGTCTGTGGCCCTCGGGGCCGTCTTCACCTCCAGCACGTGCTTGGCCAGCACCCGCAGGACCGTCCCGTTGCGGACCCGCTCCTCCGACAGGCACTGGTACACGCCGCTGTCCCCCTCCGACAGGTTGAAGATGAGCAGGTGCTTCCTGCCCACCAGGCTGTACTTGGGGCCGTCGGCGTCGAGCACGCCGTCCCGGAACTTCCACACCACCCGGGCCAGGTTGGACTTTTGGGAGCATTTGAGTTCCGCTGTGCCGCCGTGCTTGAAAAAATGCTGCCGGAAACTTTCTTTACTTTTATCTGGAACATCAAAATAAACGTGCACAGCATCAACAACGCGGCTCGCTACTCAGCTCCTTCTAAAAATAGGTCAACACGCACAAGAGGACACGAGAGTGCCACCCACTGGAGCCACACGGAATCTTCCAGAACAACTAAGGAGATAAAGACATGCGTGACAGAAAAGCAAAGATGAGCCCCGGATGGCGGCCCAGCAGGACAAGGAAGTCGGAGACAAGACAGTCGGAGACAGTCGAGCGGCAGGGACCCCGTCTGGCGTCCCGGTTCCCCGGGGGCCGAGCGGCAACACGGGAGCCACGCACCACGTGCTTCTGCTCATGGCTCCCGGCTCGCGGCCTCTCTGGGCGCGAGGGGCCCACCCCGAAGTTGCCCCAGCTGGCGACAGCTGTCGGGTCAGGGATGGGAACGCGAGAGCCCAGGGCACGGCTGCCTGGGAGGGGACGAAGGGGTGAGGACGCCCCTCCCGCCACGCCGCCCACCCACGTGGGATCCTCAGGGTCTGTTTAACCAGCCCCGAGCTCAGCAAAGAGAGGAGCATCTCAAGAGCGGGTGTCCCAGGGTGGACGCCGAGTGCTTTTGGTGGAACAAACACACACACCCCACGACCTCACACGCCCTTTTCTGCGATAAAACGGATCACGGGGGGTCGGCCTCCGTATCCTCACGGATACCCGACCTCTGTTCGGAGCAGAGAAAGAGAACCGGGATGGACGCCACGCCACGACACCGAAGCACCGTGAGATGGGTACGAGGACCGGCCGCCCCCCAAGGGAGCTCGGCGAGGACGGCCGACTTACCCGGGCAGGCGGACGCGTCTCCACTCATCTCCTGAATTGTGGGTCTCTGCAGAGGAATCTGCCTGGTCAGCACGCGCTTCCCCCTCGACGATTGACCGGGGTGTGGTGTGGCGCGGCGGTCTCAGCCGCCTCGGGTACTCGTTGGGCCGTCCGGTCAGTTTGAAAGGGGCGCGGGCAGGTAGGCCACGAGCCGGGGCCGCCTGCCCAGGCGTGCGTGAAAGTAGGGGTCGCGGGCGAAAGCACGCAAAGAAATCACAGGTACAGGCAAGGCAGGAAGGCCACGGGGCTCTGCACACCTGGAGCCCGAGACACAAGCTCTTCCGGCCTGTGCAGGTGTGAAACAGGGGGGCATAGTGCTGGTGGGGGCACAAGGGAGCCTGGGCTCATGTGCTCATCGCCTCTCTCATCCAGGAGCTCAGAACTGAGTTTCATGGGTGGTAGTCTGAGACTACAGCTGCAGCGTTGAAAGCCTAATGCCATGACTGAGCATCAAGCGCCTGCCCCTGAGACTCTGCCTTTGGGGCCGGGCCATAGCCGCCTGTGTGGGAGGGCCTCCCCCCCACAGGCCAGAGGCCGGCGGGCACCAAGCCTCATTTTCATGCCCGCCTGACGGAGCCAGCCTCGGTAGTCGTCTGGTCAATCCAGGAGAGAGAGGGGCTGCCGAAAGGGCGATGCTGATTCCAGCACGCCAGTTTAAGGCAGTGTGGGGGAGACCCACAGCCTGTTCGGCATTAGGGCCGGTGGGCTCCCCTCGGCTCCCAGCACGGCGAGAGACTTCTCTGACCGGCGCGGCGTTGCTTTCCCGGCTCAGTTAACGGGAATCCCCCATTTCTTTGCCGTAGCCTTTGGCCGCTGGGGCAATTCCAGAACTTGCGTGTACGTCGTCCTCTGCCCACAACACCTCACCCCGACGTCTGCACACACCTTGGCCATTCCCAAGCTCCACAGAACTTGGTGGTTTCGACCCAGACGACACGCAGCCCTTCCCCTGGAGGACAGGCTGTGAGTTAACTTTCGAGTCCAGCTCCGCTCTGAGGCCCTGGGGCCGCCCGCCCCGTGACCCACTGTGTGCGAGTGCAGCCGAGAGGAAGGAAGTCCCTTCTGTAACAGATTCTCACGTGACAAGTGGCAGAGAGAGACAGCGGTCAGCAGGGACCCAGGTAAGTGACATCACGTGCCTGCCAGGCTGTGAGGACCAAGGACGCCATCCCAGATCGCAGTCTGGTTCTCAGAGGTCAAGGGACCCGGGAGAGGACGCCGACTCTGCCGGGGAAGCCCCGCCCGACAGTGACCTGTGTGCATGGCGTGGCCGTGGGGAGGGCGGGCTCCGTATCCCTGCCCTACCCCCACCCCAGGGCTGGGCTCCCGTGATACACGGCCACCGAGTAACAGACGTGGAGGGAAGCGGACAGGAAAACGCCCTGAAAAGGGGTGGCCGTGACCACTGGTGGGCGCACAAGTCAGCAGACAGGACGGACTGATGGGGGCAGCCTTGCGGTCCCTCCACAAACAACCATTAGCCCCTCAGGGTCTGAACACACGTCCACAACTCAGCACACGCGGCCTGGCCCCGCGTGGTGGGTTCCGTGCTCTCCACGGGCACGTGCCCACACCCTCAGCCCCATCTGAGCACGAGGAAACCGGGATCATTCCACAAAACTCCGTACAACTAAGCAGGCCACCAAGATGAGAACAGATGGGGAACCGGCCCAGACCAGCGGTGGCTGCTGGCCGGCCTCTACAGCAAAGGCCAGCGTCCTGGCCCAGAGGAACCTGCCGGCGGGCGTCTTTTCCACCCCGGACAGCCGCTTCCTGCCACTGCGGGGGCGCACACGCCATCCCAAGCCTACCCAGGCCCGCCAGCCCGAAGAGAGGGCGGGGGCCGCGGCCCGCACACCTTCCCGCTAGGGCCAGACAGCCGAGGCTGCCCCGGTGCAGGGCTCCTGGGAGGACGGGCCAGTGGCTCCCCGCATGGCCAGCGGGCGGACGGGTGAGCACAGGGCTGACCCTGATCCTCCTCAACCTCACCCGTCCCGCAGGACTGGAGCTCACACGCCCAGAAGCCCGCGTCCCCAGATGACACTGGCCAGCGGGGCTGTGGTCTCAAGTGTCTGCACCGGGGGCCCAGCCTCTGTTCTGTGCACACGTGACAATCTGGGGGCCCCAAGGGCACGCGCCCCAGCCCGGCCGAGCACCCGAGCAGCAGGGCCGCGGTCGGGAGGACTTCTTTGTTCCCACAGCAAAGCCAGGGAGCAGGGGCGGGGGAGGGTGGCCTAACAGGCCCGTGAGGCTCCGATGCCGCGTCTCTGCCGGCTCAGAGCCCGCCTAGGCTCTGTGGTCTCCTTCCCTTCCAGCAGGGGAGACGGCCCTGTTGGGTGACCCCGGAAGTTTGAAAACCAGATCCAAGTTCTGACACTCACGATGGCGGGACCCACGGGTGGCTCTGACCGACAAGTCGACTTCTGCCTTTCTCTCTCTCCTGGCTACGGGCGCCCCCTCCTGCTGCCCGCTGCCCCCATCAGGAACCAGGCCGGGAGGCCGCCCTGAGGGGCTGCGGGCCGACCCCCTCCAGGTGTGAGGGAGGCTGGGGACTGTGCTGGGTCAGACAGGAGACCCTCGGCATCGGGGAAACGCCCTGCGAGGTGGGGCAGCTGGGCCTGGTGTCCAGAGCGAGCCTTTACAGGCGGGGTGCAGGTGACGGCCAGACTGCAGCTCAGGGAAAAGGCTCGCAGCTGGGCTTCCCATTTCTGGCCCTGACCCTGGCTCTGCCAAGTCCCCGGAGCCCGTCGGCTCAGGGCTCGCAGCGTGGGGACACCCACGAGGCCCTGTGGGTGCTCTACAGGAAGTGAGGTCGTCAGCCACAGTCAAAGGACAGGGCCGGGCCACCCCGGGTCTGCTGACCCCTAGATGCAGAGGAGGAGTCTAAGGCAGGACCGGCCTGCCAGGCTCACGCAGCCACGAATCATGGGGCCCCGGCCTGCTCCACCCTGGCTGTAAATGGGGAGGCACGTGTCCCAAGGCCACGTGGGTAGATGGCAGGGGACGGCCTCCAGAGTGGATCCAGGGCCCTGGTTGTTTCTATGCTACCCACCAACTAATGACATGTCTTATATAAATGGTTGGAAAACAATCAAAGGAATAATATTTCAGGATATTCAAAAATTACATGACCTCCTGAGCTCTGTTTCCATAAAAAAGACTTTGCTGGAAGGCAGCCAGGCCCACCCGTGTGCGGACGTCCCACGGCTGCCTGTGCACAACGGCAGGGACCTACAGCCCCCGAGCCCCAAACGCTCACTCCCGGCATTTACGGCAAAGGTGCCGCGATCCCGACCCTGATGGGGGAGAAGGTGCCTCGTTGGGGGAGCAGGCTCACAGACATAACTGTCGTCCCTTGGGGCGGGCTCTTCTGCGCCCACAGAAGACTCGTCTGCAGTCTGCAGACTGAAGACTGAGGTGCGTCTGCACCTGCAGATGGGCGTCAACCCCAGCAGCTCGGGACGCTCAGTCAACTTGAGGTGACTGTTCCATCTCCCCAGTTAGCCTTCCCTCCATCCCATACCCCAGGGCTCACGGGGCCCTCTGTAAGAACCCGGAGGTCAGCTCATCTGGACCACACAGATGATCGGCCTGCCTGGCCGGTGACCAGGGACGCGTGAGGCCACCTGTCTGCCTGGTGACCAGGGACGTGGGAGGCCGCCCGCCTGTCCTCTCTACCTTCTCAGAATTCAGCAGCAACGTCTGGACCGGCTCGAAGTCCCGGAAAAGCTGGGTCTCCTCGATGATGTGGGCGTCATTCTCAAGGTTGACAGCTTTGTGGAGGGCGCCCCGGTCTGCAAGGGCAAAGCTACAGGTCAGGGACGCGCCTGGACGGTCACGGCGGCCGACAGCCCCCGTTCTTCCTCTCGGCTCCTCCCCTCGATGAGACACTGAGGAGCCGAAGCCGTCCGCACTTTGGACGTGGGAAGGAGAAGCCACTGGCGACGCGGACAGCGTGAGCGGCACCGGTCACTCCGCTGTTTCCTGGAAAAGAAACGGACCTCCCACTGCTGACTCCCGTGGAAGTCAGGACCGCGACACGGTGCCACCACATCACAGGAGAGGTGGCTCTCGGGCTCCAGCGGCCCTCCGGGGCGCCGTGCGGTGAAGGCCCCGGGGAGGGGAGGGCTCAGGGCACGCTGGAGCCCCCAGGAACGACCCCGGCGCCCTCCGGCCGCTGCTGCTCCGGCCCCAACCCCCCCAGCCCCCCCACCCCCGCCTTCCAGAGACGCTTGCGTGAGAGTCCCAGGTGGGGACCCGTCTGGAGCCAGCAGGGACGTGGGACTTCTCTGCCACCTGCTCTCAACCGGCCCGCACGGGCACCACTCCCGGCGCACCAGCCCCGACCCACCGGGCCTGGATCCCCACACGGGGGCCGGGACTCGGCCATTCAGTCAGCGCCCCAGCGGTCTGACGGTCAGACGGCGGAGGCCAGCCAGGGGTGGCGGCTTCTCGGAAACCCTGCCGGAGACCCCTCCGGGCGCGCAGGGAGACGCTGGCCTCGCGGCAAGAAGGAGCTACATTTGCCGGCGTCCTCGGGGGGGCTGGACCCACCTGTGCCGATGAACATGACGTCGTAGACGGTCCCGTCTAGGGCCCGGGTCCTGTCCACCACGATCTGCGTGTAGTTCACGTTGCCCGTGACCAGCCTGGGCCTGTTGTCTGTTGGGGTCACGGAGCCGTCCATCAGGGGGTGGTCCTTGACGAACTGCAGGGTCTTGTCCGGCAGACCCAGGGAGCTGGAGAAGTTGGCCGCCCGCGCCTCGCGGTTGATGCACTGCGGGGGGCAGACCGGCCGTCAACGCGCGTGCTCACGGACGCACGGCCCGCACGAGCCCCGCACGCAGGCCCCCCGCGGGGCCCAGACTGTGACAACGCCATGCGGAGCGCTGTTGCCAACGGGGAAAGTCAGCGGCGACCTTTCCCCAGGAATCCGAAGACGTGGCCCGAAGGCCGGTCGGGAAGGGCAGCCGTGCGTGTGTCCACGAGATCTAATCCTGCTTTACGACACACAGCGAACTTGCTGGAGTCTATTTGTATATAAGAAAACTGTATCAAGCTTTTGAAATTGAAAAATAACGGCTTATCGCTTGATAGCTCTTCCTCGACATCTCTGCTAAAATCACTAAAAACGGTCCGGTTCCAAACAGCACAAAGGTCAAGCGTGTGAGGGGTTCTTTTCCTGTCCTGGCTCCCGAGTGCGGAAACCGAAATTCGTAATCACGTGACCATGATTTACTTCATGACACGCGTGGAGGGAACTGACGGCTGCTGGCAAGTGTGGACCCCCAGGGAGGAGCCCCAGGCCACTCGCCCGGGGCCACGACCCCACCGCGGCCACACCCACGGCCCCACACACCAGCCACATGACGGGCAGATGCCGGTTTCCACACAAGAGTCACTACTTTCGGGAAGACACAAACGTGACTCACGTTAACGGGTGGGGGGTACG